CTCAATGGTCATTTTAAGTCTTAACTGTTTTTGAACAAAATGTGTCTTTTCCTAAGAAAACACTAGGGTCAGGCTCCAGGGAGAGTCAGATATATCTCTGAGAGCCAGCACCATTAAGTGGAAATAAAAATAATATAAAATGCAACAGTTTTTCTTATTGCTTTCCTACTCGCTCCAGGAGAGAACAATATTGTCTCAGCAGTAATGTGATAGAATGATTTGATATGCAATAACCCCTTCCAAATACTGTCAGTCTGTAATATTGGGTTCTGATGACAAGAGGTGTATTACTCTGACCAACACAGTTGTGATGCTTCCCATCTTCCTGCTTGCTTGAAGTGAACACAAATGTTTAAATTTATAATTTGGTTTGCTGGGGCAGTGCTGAAAATGGTCGTGTCACTAAACAGGATATAAGAATGGATCTCTGGGAGAACGGATGGCCTTTTTATAATTCAGTGTTGAATCTGAAATAATCCAAAGCTATCTTTTCAGAAGAATACATTCTAAGGGTGAAAGTGACATTTCGTGGATTTTATAATGCCCTTTTCTGTTCCAGAGAAAAGATTGTGTGCACTAGTTACATAATATTAATCAATCTTTTTTCTTCTTCTTTACACAATTTCTTATTTCTTCTTGTGAGGGGTCCTTGGTGCTCTCTGAGGTTGGTTGTTTTCTTGCAGACGTTTCATTACCCAAATGAGGTAACATCGTCAGTGCTAGTAAGGAGTGCTGTTTGATGTCAGTTTATATTCTGGTGGCTTGTTTCTCAGTGTTGGTTGTGATGTTGGTCTTAGAGATTCTTTGGTTGGGCTGTTTACTAATGTCTTCTTTGGCAGTATCTTGATTGGGTTTTTGTTTACTTGATTGTTGGTCTGATATTAACACTGGAGTTAATCTATGCTGATCTGGGTTCTGATTGCTGGTGGAGAAGGTTTAGCTTTTTTGTTCCTTTTTGAGCTTTTACAACAGTGGTTCTCAACCTTTTTAATGCCGCGACCCCCAACCGGTCATAAGTCGAGGACTAAACCGGTCGTAAGTCAAGGACTAAACCGGTCGTAAGTCGAGGACTAAACCGGTCGTAAGTCAAGACTACCCAACCGGTCGTAAGTCGAGGACTTTCCCTGCCCGGGAGCACCATGCATGCGTGGTTCCGCCCCCTGCGCCGGCCGAGGCGTAGCTGGCAAGCGGCAGAGACGGAGCAGGCCAACCACCTGCTGGCCCAGCCCAAGGGAGGTAAGGCACCCACCGGAAAAGGGGAAAAAAATGGCGGACAAAAAAAATGGCGGACAGCCTTGCTTGGCGACCCCAGTGAAATGGTCGATCGACCCCAAATGGGGTCGCGACCGATAGGTTGAGAACCGCTGTTTTACAAAGTCTATAGATGTTGTTAATGTCTATGTGTCTATTGACTGGTTTGTCAGAGTGCCAGGCTTCTAGAAATTCATTGATGTTTTTAGACTTGACTTGGTCTAGGATGGTCACATTTTCTCAATTGAAACTCTGATTAAATCTGTCTATGTGTGGTGAAATTAAAGAATTTTCATCATGTATTCTGCCTGCTACTTGGTGTTCATGGATGCGTTCTGCCAATCTTCTGCCTGTTTGTCCTAGTGTACATAATGGTTGTTGCATGACAGGTAGATGACTCCTGTTTTTTTCTTCTAGGATTGTTGGGTCTTTTGGTCTGCTTATGATGTTTTGAAGGCCTTTAGTTGGCTTGTGTGCTACACTGATCCATGTGGTTGTAATAGTCTGTTGGTGGTTTATGAGACATTTCTTCTCTTCTGTATACCTTGAGCATTTCTGTTTCTTCCCTCGTAACCCTAATCATGCCAAACCAGCTTTTAATTATTAAAAGTTGCTTGCACTCAGTGTTCCTTTCACCTGCACATCTGCCTAATACCAAAAGCAGAACACACTTACAGACTACAAGTAAACTAAGTGGAAGCCATTTTTATTTATTATTTTATTAATTGTATTAAAAAAAATAAAAAAACCATAAAAAACTAATGCAAGTTAGTATAGAATAAGGAAGGAAAAAGAAAGAAATCAAAAAGAAGACTAAATGTGCAAGAGAGAAAGGAAAAAAAGAAAAAAATAAAGAAAGAAAAATATACAAAAAAGTGGCTTCCAATCTTTACAGTGGTTATAAGTTCAATTATAAATCTATTTGTTTCTCTAAAGTTAAATCAGAACAACAGAGTTGAAAGGGATCTTGGAGGTCTTCTAGTCCAAATCCCTACTCAAGCAAGAAACCCTATATCATTTGGAAAATATGCTGACCCCATCTTCTTTGTGGCAGCCCCTCAAACATTGGAACACTGCTATCATGTCACCCTAGTCCTGACATCATGACTCTCTTCTTTCTATACTCATCCTATGTAATCATTAAAGCCATACATTATAAGTTCTTCCTGTTTTATGCAAAAATTCCACGAGGGGTTTCCAATCTACAATACTGTAAATGAAGATATGATGTTTTCTCTAGTCAAGCAAATCAGTTTGGCCTTGCAGCCACTTTTAGAGTGCAAACTTCTTGGCATTTAGGCTAGGAGGGTAAATGAACTCTGTTGTTCTTTTTGTGTACACTGGCAATCTTGACTGTGATCTTGGACATTATGGATTGGATTGCGTACACTGTTGTTTTTAACTTTGCATGTTGCATGGAGTCATTATAGAGAGATGGATAGCCATATGTGTAATGTTAGTCTGTCCTATTTCATTCTATTTAAATTTGGAACAAGTTGGTGTGTTTATCTGCACATCATAAAATTGTTTGGCTTATATTAATCCCATATAAATTAAATAAGAATCCAGGTAGGTAAAAGATTTATATTCACAATCTATTTGTCCCAACATAGTGAGCATAGGTTTTGCATAGAACAGGCAATCCTTCTATTTTACAGAGTATTTGTTCCCAAGACAGATCAGCTGTACTGCTGTTAAGGCCTTGCCACTTTCCAAGTCTTGTTAAATCTCATAAGCTGATGTAAAAGTGAAACATCTGCCACTACCTAAAATTGAACTCTCAACCTTTCAAGTGGGAAGGTTGCAGAATGAAAGGTGCAGAATGTTTTCAGACCAAGGGTCCTTGAGTAGAATGTGGGGGCTATGTGTCAAAAAATAGGCGAAGAAGCAGCTAGAATTAAAATAAACATATTTGACATGATTTAATTTTAGATGAAATAGAAGTGAATTCTATGTTGAACAGAGTGGTGGCCTAGTGGTGTAGATGCTAGCCTCCCCCTCAGACAGCTGAGAGTTCAATCTTGAAGGAAGCAGATATTTCTCTTTTAGGGCACAAAGAAAAAATATCTGCTGCCAATTCTGTGTAGACATTTGGAAGGACAGCCAACAAGTAAAATGTTAATCTCCATCCAGTCTCTCACCCCCAGACACTACCCCAAATTAAGATACTACAGGGTTGTAAAAAATGAATTCTACTTTATTAGTGTGATTACATCTCATGCAATTAAGAATGTTCTACTTCCAGAGGTCCTTATC